TATATATATATATATATATATATATATATATATATATATATATAAACTCTAAAAAGTGTGAAATGGTTTGAGGTGTTTTAAGTGCATGCTGGGCCTTAGTTGAGTTTGAGCGGTTGTGAAAGTGAAGGCTATGTGTGGTTTGATGTGGAAAAATAAGTTGTTTTGGAAAAAGTTGGTTTGCTAGATTTGAAGCATTGGTCTAGAATGTTTTTGCACAAACTTTACAGTAGATCAGCATCATATGTTGCAATTGTTTCCACTGAATCTAGGCTTACATCAGCTTTAAAATAAATCAGTTCATGATGTATTTCTTAGAAATAAAGCATAAACAACTTCCATAAAGGTCCAGAATGGTGATAATTAAATAAAAGCACAATTAAAACCATGAGACGCGTTATGACAATAGTATTAATGGTGATAAGAGTTGCTTCTGAATGGGTGATTAGTTTGAGTGAGAACAGGGGATTTTCTAATCCTGTGGTCAGATGTGGCACGTGATAAAACACTGTGATTTAACTTGAAAAGTATTTCTGCATCATATTTCAGTGTACTTCAAACACCCACACCATAGTTTATACAGATGTCTCACAGTATAATAAAATACCGACGGTGAGTGAACAACAGAAGCGCTTCATCCGGCACTAAACATGTCCTGCAGTGATGTGATATTTCGCAGCATAAAACAAGTTATCTGACCAAAATAATTCAGCAGAAATCTCATCTTTGCATTTCAGTGACACATCACTCACCTTGCAGCGACGTGATGACAGCTCAATTGAGTTTTTGGAGTGAACTGCAGAGAGAGCAGGAGTTGCGCCTTTTCTCGTGGGAATAATATAAATATTGATAACCTCACATAATTTAGGTAAACGGGATCACAGACAATAACTCCGCCGTGCACTTTTGTAAATTAACATTCATACATAAGCACTAAATTGCCTGGTGCAGCCCGTGATGATACATCCTGCTGGCGCTTTAAGCGGATAAAAAATAGCTCTCGCTGTGTGGGTTTGGTGGTTTAAGATTGGCTACAAGCGCGCGATATGATTTTACACAGAACCAATAGGATTAGAGGCAGGGCTGTGGGTCGCTTATTTAGTTACAGAGCGTCGCCCGGTCTGTAATGCACATCACGAGAGACGTATCCCGCCCGGCGGTGCTACGGGGGAATTAAAAACAAGCTAATCTCGTCCATGAGGAAGTTACGATCTGCGAAATGGTTTGTGGGAGTTGTAGTGCATTTCACAGACAGCTGCTGCTTCTACGAATGACATAGACACCACTCCAAAACTACATCTTCGCCATTTGTGAAAAAAAAACGCACTTCTTGCATCAGCGTGTGGACCACATTCACCGGCAAAGTTACAATCAGCTGCTCCTTGTTTTAAAGTAAAACATATTGCCACCGTTAAAGCCAGTAATCAGTCCACACATAGCGGAATAGCTACCAACGGCCAGATGAAGCTCTTCGTCTGTGAAGGCAACCCGCACTGCCTGAAGGTGTTAGCCGCTTTAGAAGTGACTGGAGTTCATTGTGACGTCCAGTATGTCAACCACGATGGTAAGACAGCATGGCTAGCTTAACATTCGACTCTAATTCTAATGGTGACTAATACCTGATTCATTATAAAGGGGGTTGGTCAAGTTTGAGCTGAGTTTGTGCTGTAACTGACGGTTGTATCTTGAATAGCAAGTCACCGTTACTGTAGTCCTGATCACGTGCTAACTGTCAAGATTGACTTGTCTACCTGCCTCTGAGCAGCAACTAGAAAACTGTCTTACTGACACCACTACTTTGTTTGTTTTGTTAAAGTCTTTATTTGGTGCAGCCTCTTGTAGCTTTTGTTTAGCAGTGCAGACCTACAGGCGTTGAAACCTACCTGTACAGTAAACAACAGCATACCTTTCATACCTGGAACAGTCCCGGGTTTAGTTGTATTAGGTTACACTGTTATGTCATCGTGTTGTGTCAGACACAATCAAATATCTGGTTGTTTCTGACCTAGTACCTTGACACGAATATTTTGATTATCTGTGAATGAATATTGTTGTATTTAGGTGATTATTACACTAATGACAAATCTGGGGAATTACACATTGATTCATACTCAGTTCATCAGTCAAGTCCAGTCCTTAAAACGGGGACAATTTGACACATTTTAGCAGGAGAGAGACACTATTCTACTTGGGGTCCGACTATGACATAACACCAGCTCTGTCTATAGGTACCAGGATGTATTGTGTGCCTCTGATAAACAAAATAAACCCACAAAATGTCAATTAAGGATATATCATTACACCTAAAATATGACCATACACATACTGAATCCCAGTTTCTAAGCTCTTTGTAAGCTTGTGAGTTTGCACTTGTTAATTGCAAAGAGTCTTTTCAAAATAGACTTCTGTCTTCACGGGAAGTTAGGTTCAGGCTACAAAACCACTTAGTTTGGTCTCGGAAAAGAGCTTGGTTGGCGTTAACTTGAGTGACCAATGACTCGCATCAACACCAAGGGACTAACTTCTCAAGTGACTGACGGCAAACTTAACACGAGGGAAGGAACCGTTGAAGTAGCACTATAAAGTTCTTTCATTGCCTCAGACAACGTCACTCTCCTGCCACTGGATGAAGGAAGAACAACAGATTTTGCAGCTTTGCCGAGTCCCAAGGAAGAGCACCAGGCCATGCCATGGATGTATAGAAAGAGAACTGAGTACTGAGTTGGAGGAGGTGCCCCATTCAATCCTACGAAAGTTGCTCACTGGCACATGAAGCAAAAAAAGTTTGACTTAAGTGCAAAATTATCCGGATCTAAATATGGCCAAACCGTGGAAATACAACTTCCAGGTCCGTCACCTGATGACATTGGGTCCAAAAATACTTTTTCCCATAAACCTTTCAAATATCCCTTGTTTAAATCATTAGGTCCTAAAAGCTGTAAATGCACTAATGGCTGAATCCAGAGATAGTTCCCTGCTCCGTTTATGTGAAAGAGCCTGAGACTGATGCCGGGCCAAGCACTGTGAGGCGGGATTAAAGTAAACGCTAGTGCACTTGCTCTGTAGGCCCAAGGATGCAGAAGATCGTTGGAGGATTCGGGGAATTTTATACTTGGAAGCTGAACTTTTTTTTGATTTATGCGCCACTGAGCAAACGTTCACAGGAACGAACGAGGCCCTGCCTCCAACTCCAGTTCTCTTTATAAATAAATGATCATAGTTTGTATTAACAATTTAAATCTGTAAAGTAACTATTACATAAGGCTATCACATATAT